TACTTAGTGCGGCTATAAACGTCCTTTTTTTTTTTTTGAAGAATTTCGAAAATGGAAGAAATGATAATTATGGCGGCCCAGCATTATCAACATTGAAAAATGCCCCGGCATGAAGTGGTTAACAATGGTACAGCTCAGCCACCGTATTCTTTGCATGGACAGATGGTCTCAGTTTTTGCGAGAATGCGAAAGCGTGTGCCATTGGTTTCCTGTACACATTGTTTCACTTGCAGTCAGGAAGCTTCATGACATTTAGCACATGTAGCCAATGTGTTTCAGGTTTGTTAAAGCTGTTATCTGATCAGTCAAATAGTCAATTTTTTGGCATCACTTTTGAATTGGATGTGATTTTTACTCTTCAGTGGACTTTGTTGGCCTTGCTACATTTTTTTGGGTTTAGTTTTACTTGCTTGGTTTGTCACTTGTTGGCTAGCTTCTCTGTGGTTTGGTGCTGTTCTTGGTCTGTTTCCAAGTGACATCATCACCACAAACTAAAATGCCATGTCTTGTTCGGGCAGCCCATCTACATTTCATCTCTTTTTGCACAGTTCAGATCTTTCCACAGTATTTTCTGTGCATTCTTCCTTCATTATTCCCGTTCATCAGCTTGCTTTGCATTTATTCTGAGATTATTGTGTATTCTGCAACGACTCTGTTCAACACTGTCTCCCTTGCATTTGCTTCCGTTTGACCTCTTATCTTCAGATGACCCCGTGATTCACCTGCAAAAAGTTCAAAGCAATTTATGTTTAATCCATTTTCCGGATACTTAATGTTGATATTTTATTGGGTTTCTCATTCAGTTGATGAAAAGGCGTGATAAAAAAAAACGGTGAGTAATGTTGCAGGCAAAAATGCAGCAGTCTTGGCATGTGCTGTGATACATTTTAACCCCCCCCCCAAATGAACACATATATTTCATTGTCACTTTCAATCTGTGGATGAGCTTCATTACAAAATTTCTGTGATCGATGTGTTTCTTGCGATGCAGTTCCAGGATTATGACTTTAGCGGTATCTCTGTGGCAGTTACACGTATATCTGCGTGGTACATGCATGCATGTCATTGTCAAACATTCACTATCATTTACATCTTACACATTGTATAGTCCCCCGCCCCTTCCCCATACACATTTAATGCTGTAATGTGCTTGTATCCTGTAGCTGGAAACCACCCTTAGTCATATGCCGATCTCAGGAAGGGTTTCGAGGCAGACACGACAGGAAGAGGTATGTTAACTCAGATTTCTGTGCTCACTCTTGATATCGCGATGGGGACTGGTCTCACAATCTTTGCACTCGAACTTCCAAGGGGCATCAAGTTCCATATTTTAGTCATCGTCACATTGGTCCTTCTTTCTCCCGTAAAGGATTCATGCCACATTTTTTCAGACTCCTTTGCATATTTACAGTCTTCTTCAGCGTGTGAATTCTCTTTGACATCCTTTTGGAGTTAATTGTATTGAAAAGTGTATTAAAAAAAAAAATTTCAAAATTGCCATGCTTTCCTGGACAAGTGAGGGTTCTGTTGCCATGATGTCAATCAGGGAAGGCACTTTTCAGATTGTGATTATTTCTAATCACATTATGAACCCAAAATTTACTCATTGGAAACTCTCATGGTTATCTCATTGTTGTGTGTACTTATACAATAAATCACAAAAGAAAAGGAAAGTTTGGACAGCAAAATATGAAAATATCCAGCAGAATTTTACACCCAAAACAGAGCAACATGGAGTTTTTTTAATGGAAATTGGCATTAACCCCAAAACCAAATGGGCACTGAGATACCTTAAACGTATCCAAACAAGAATTGAAAGTAGGTTAATTGAAATAAAGAAAATCATAAATTTTAAGGGTTTGTAATAAAATAATTGTATTCCATGGACCCTTTAAATCCTCTGAAACTCCCTACATTTTTTTTCTCTCAGGAGCATCTTGAACAGCGGTTGGAGCATGTCACCCAAGAATTGGGATCTGTGCGGATGCTCCTTCGGAAGTACAACGCCCTCAAGAGTTCAATTTAAGCCATGTATTCCAGGCAAGGCGTTCCTTTTTTCTTTGTCATCAATTTGGTGTGTATTTTCCTGTGTGAATTGCACAACATGCTTTATGAAATAATCGTCATAGTATTGAGAAATTTATGGTTTTAATGGGAGGCATTGGCATTATTGTTGACTGCTGTTTGAAGAGAATTTATTTTTGAGTCTAACTAGCTTATATACATGTGACAATACACAAAGGCATTGCTTCAGTATTTGAAGATAAAAGTTAGATTGATAAGATTTGTGTTTTATCTGTTTTCACCTCTAAGTCCACTTTTTCTGAGTTGGTAGCATTTTTATCACGAATACCTCAGTTTCAACTGGAGAGAAAAAGTAAATGTTGAGAATGGGGAACAGATTTGTTAAACTTTAGTGTTGTCAAAACCATCAGAAGGTCAAACATGAGACCAGTCACATGTAACAGGGTGAATAATGACAAAGGAATACTTTTGTTGCAGTTCATTTAAATAGCTTGCGACGAGAGCTCTTGTGTTTATCTTGTGTGATCGCGTTATAAATGGTCCTGTGGGATCTTGTGATGGTTGCTGGATGTCTCAACTGCAACACTGTTAAACTTTGACAACTTACAGTTAATTAATATGACATGTGGCTGCTCGGCACTTAGTCACCACCTTTTTGACAAAGTCTCACAAAAATGTGAAGATTACAATTTAGGTAAATTTCAGCCCATTAGATGGCACGGGCTGTCAGACCAATGATGTCTTTGATATGTTGAGCTTTGTCAGTCTTGATACCAGATGAGAAGTTGAAGCTTCATTCAACTCTTTTGTCTGGATTTCCTCAGTGGTCTACAGTGTGTTCAAATACATTAGCCCATGTAGCATATCCGACCAGGAAGGGAAGTAAGTTACCCACCTCCAAGATACAGTGCATGTCACTTTTTTTTATTGTGTATGTTATTAATAGGAATTGAAGCTGCCAGCATTTTTAAAAAACAGTACTGTCACCACTCACCTTTCTATGGGGAAGTCATGAGGATTCTTTCACCAGTGAAAAAAATTGGATAATTATTTTTAGAAAACATCACATTTTGCCCCCCTCCCATTCGGAGTTGCAGCAAGCAAGCATGTGCTGGTGCAAGACATATAGCTGCAGCAGCAGAGAGTGCTGCTGTCAATTGTGGGAGACAAAGGCTGTGTCCCAGAGTTACAGCTACGGCTTTATGTGCCTATTGAAGCCTGTGGCTTGCGACTGCAGCCACTTCCCATAGGTGTGTGCTTCATATACTTCTTGCCTCAGCCAGTTGAGTTATTTGTACGCCAAACCTTACATGTAACTTTGTTTCCAGTTTTGGCTTTGCCTACATGTCAGTTGCTTAGGGCCCTGACTTCCAGATAGAGTTGAAACATGAGTCCACAATTTTGCAACTGACATATGACTGTTTGGATTTGTAATCAAAGAACAGATCTTTAAAATTAGACCCTCGACCACGAAAAGACCTGCAAATGGCTTAAGGGGAAATCTGAAGCCTGTAACAGGTTTTACCAAAGCCCCTTATTAGTTCTAACATGCTCGGAAATTGTTTGCGTGAATGTTGCCCAGTATTATTTTATTTGCGGGAAGAAGCGATGTGCGTGTAAAGTCATGAAGTTTCAACCGCTGTCTTGAATTAAGCTTAGGGTTTATTGCTTTGTGAACAAGTCTTTTTCGGCAACCTTTTTCTGCAGATGTTGCAAAGCTGCAATTCAAACTAATTGGCTGTCGATGTAATGCTGTACAGTACTTTTGAGTCTTTGAAAACAGTGTCTACTTCATTAACGCATCATTTACTTCTGTTGTTTCTCATTTCCACTGAAATACTATGCATAGTTTCTAATCAGTAAAATCTTTATAAACAAAGTGCCATCTTCTTGTCTGGATGCCTCCAGAAAAAAATCTACCTTACATGTTTCATTCAAGAAGTTCCTATTGTGTGTGAATTGTTTTACCTACAATGTACATGTAAATTTCACGCTGAAGTACTCTAACAGTATGGACATGTGTGTTTGTGTTGTGTGAACACTGCTTGGAGTTAATCATGTATGATTAAAATACAGAGCAATAATTATTGCTTAATAGACTGTACTTGGACATGTGCTTGTCTCAAATCATTTCTCAATAATGACGGTTGACAGTTTGGGTGTGTTCGCCTGGGCTTCTCTCAATATTGAGGGATGTAGGAAAAGATTGCGTATGCATTATGCTTGGATCACACTGCATGAATGAAGATATCACCTTTCCGCTATTTTGAAATGCATGTAACCATATGATTCAAGATTATACTCCTGACCTGATTGACCTTGATGACCTGAGTGGCACTTGAAATTTGAAACAGGGACAACATCGGTCAGTGAATTGGCCAAAGTTTTTGTGGCTATAAGCCTGTTTTGGTTGGAATCATAGTTCCTGTGTCCCAAGATACACTTCTGGTCATATGGAATTGTAGTACCTGCTTCCATGGGAAGGTACCGTACTTGATCATTATTGCTTTTCTCTACCAAGGAGTAACCTGACATTGGCTTATGAATAAAGACTTGTCTCCCTGTAATAGCTGAACTGAATCCAGCAATCTTAATTTTACCAGTAATCACTAAGATTGTATATGTGTACATTCTTCTGAAAGTGATTATGCCCCATATTCATCTGTTGTATAATGCTTTGTCGACAAAAGCTTTTGCAGACTTTATTTTTGCAGGGGGGGTTCTTTTTTTCACTTACATAAACTAGGTAGTGATGTGACCTCTGTCGGCTGCACAAGCTACCGAGGACAGCAGAGTCTTCTTGCTTTATTTCCGAGCAGACACGTGTGGCCGTGAGCCCTAACAACCTGAATCCTGAGGAGATGCAATCTGCGTAATTCAATTTATGACAGGCTACAATTGCTTTTGTGTGCGAGGCCCTGGAGGATAACACTCTCAGTGTCCCTCCTAATCTGATGTTCCCTACACGGATGCACATTCTCTCTCATCAACTCCCTCAAGTAGGCAATCAGAGAAGATTGTTGCATCTGTCCTTGAAGTGATTAGACTTGAATTAGGTTATTAGCGGCAAAATTTAATATAGCATGCATGCTGCCTTAGATAAATTGATATGAAAACCATACCACTACCGAGTCTATCATTTGCAAGGATTGGAAATTCCAAGTTTGGATGTCTGAAAAGTTCTAAACTCGAGGAATTAACCCCCTTCTCCCCTTAAAAAAGGTTTGTTCAATAGGACTGTCACCAGGATGCACTGCACACATTGCAGGTCAAATAGTTGGATATCATAAGACAAAGGGTATCTTTATTCACCATGATTCTTGAGTTTTATAAACATTGGGAAGTTGTAATATAATACATGTAGTCATATTCATGTATGACCAAAATGACAGGTACGTGTATGTGACCTGTGACCTATACATACACATGACCTGTATGATGTAAAAAAAATGACTTTGTGAAGAGTTTACACATGTATTATGCAAGCCGTCACAAAGTGAGTTGTTTTTTTAAAATGCCAGAACTTCCTTCTGCCGAGCACACAATATTTTTTTCTCTAACAATTTCAGTTTACCCTAAACAGGATGAACTTGTCCTCCGTGAAAATTACAATGTGAAGTGGAATTTTTATGTTTGATGGCAAGTACTTGTATGTAATGTTGGCTGGATGTGGAACTCTGGCATACGTGAGTTCTCTTGTGTCCATCCCCATTCTAAAGCATTTATTCCCTGATCCACAGACTTGATTTGGGACATGAAATCTTAACAAGTGCTGAAGACACAAGTTTTGTACAGATTTTAAAAGCATGGTGCCAACATTTGCAAGATCTGAAGCTTCACTGTCAAAATGATCAATAACTGTTGATAAAAACGTGCAAAAATGAAACCTGCATGTGTTTTTCATGGCACGTCACCGATAAACAAAATACTGTGTGTGAGTGGCCTAATGAGTGGAGGCAAGGACCTGGGAATAAGTTTTAATTTTTGTCTTGTAGCTGTGACTCAGCGGCCACAGCCTAAGTGGTCAGCTATCACTCAACAGGGGGATGCCAAGGGGAGTGGCCAGCAAGAGGGGAGGGGAATGGTTTGCGTCACACACTGTCGGCTTTGGCCATCCATCATAACTTTGTCACGCACAATCATATTGATTGTTCATCGTTGTATCACAAATATGCCAATCACTGGCAGTGCTGATTTCTTGTGGCAACTATTTCAATCCATATTTCGGCAGGGTGGGGGGAGGGGAGGAGGGGCTAGGATGGAAGGGGGTCAGAAGTTGAAACTGGGGCAAGCAGGATTCTTGGTGTCATGGTAGATTTAGAACTTGTCCTGTTAAAGGTTCTACGTAGGACGTAGGGTCCGATAACAGGATGATGTTGATTTTATAACTGCATGGGCCCTATGAAAAAATATGCTCCATTGATTCCAATGCAGTTTTCGGTCATAAACCATAGTTTTACTCAGATTTTATATTTTCCTAATTAAAACTGCTCATTGATAAACTCTCATATTACTCAAAGATGCTGTGTGTGAAAAAAGTCCTATCAGAACTCATCAGTGAACAGAAAGGCAGGGGGTTCATTTGATCTCTCCCCCCACCCAGACTCACCAGTTTATGGGCATGTACAGTCCTTAAATGGTCGGCAATTCTGAATGGAAATCCGGCCCCCTGTGTTTGTGCTCTGGCAACTCAAATAAATAAATAAATAAATAAATCACAAAATGGCAGGTGATTCTTTAGACTGTAGTTTATACACTTTGGTCCAGTCGCCCCCATTAAAGTGATGGATCATACTCTCTTCTAAACTGTGTCTTTCAAGTTGGTCCTTATGGATGCATTTCTTGGTCGCATGAAGACAGCGAATTGTTGTGGCATGACTACACCTTAAACTTTCAGCTGGTTTTAAACTATTGGCAGTTTTGAATCGATACATGGACAACCAGCTGTCAAAACACATTTGGTGTCCTGGGAGAGACCGGATATGACACAGACCTGAAGCTGACATGACTCTTTGTATTAAAGAAATTTCAAACCCTGATTTCATTAGATTTTTGTAAAGGGATATCAATCAAATTGCCACGAAAGCAAAAAGAAATTTTGGTCCCCCGGCACAATCTTTCCAGCAGTAGCAAATCAGTAAGTGTCCAGCTGTGGATATCGACCACCTCACCAAGCGTCTCCCATAAACATTTACATGCAACCAACCAGTACCAGCGATGGTGCTAACCAAACATATGGTGGCAGTGTAGTGGTACACAGGTGCAGATGTGGACTTTTGTTTTGCTGAGACATATACAGGGTGTATCCTAACTGAACTCATACTGTGATTAATTGAAGCATGGCCTCTTATTTTTGTGATTTGACCCTTCAAATGAAAAGGTTCCCCTGTGAAGCATACTTTATTTTTTGGCAGCAAGAACAAAAATTAAAATCGTAGGGAAAAAAGGAAAATGCAATCTTTTCGTCTGATCCAGAAACTAAATTGTGGAACTCCCTTACTCTCTGATGTCATCTTGTATGAGTGTGTTTTACAGTTACTTGTATATTTAAAAAATACCACACTTATAGTCTACAAAGTGGCATGCTGGCTTGTTAAAGACAAACTGAAACCAGCCAAATCTGTAGCCAATCAAATGCAGCAAAGAGCCTTACATCCAGTGATGCTGCACTGCTTAAAAATTATGTTCCTTGGAACGTATTGTGACAGGTTTGTACTTGGGTTGTCTCCGCTGATGGTAAATTTAGATGTGCCATGGAAGTGTAAATTTCAATGATGAACTTTACAGTCACATTTAAGAGAACCTCAGTTTTTTTTGTGATGCCTGTTCGTTGGAGCTGCTCCTGGGAACAGTCACGGTCACGTTCCCCCCAGGGAAGAGTTGAACTGGAAATGTTGGTGGAATGTCGATAATGTTGCTTGATACTTCACACGTTTTTTTATGAATTACCATGAACTCTGTAGCGGAATAACAACTCGTTAATATCCGTGTAATGGAAGTTGTTTGAAGGGTTTACCAAAAGATAGCTGTGATGCATTATTTCCATGCAATTCGTACGTAGTGGTGTAATCAGGGTACCAGGGGCACTTGGGCCCTCAATTTCTAGAGGGGGCACATTAGGATCTGAATTATATGAACCTCATTTTCTCATAGACTGAAAGGTAAAACACCGACCAATGTTAACTGTCACCAGTTTTTTCCTTCTCTAATTTCTGAGGGGGAGGGTGTACCTCCATGCCCCCTATTTATACTTCACTGCTACACCAAGACCCTGCTCCATACAATGCTTCAAAAACACTGCTTTAGCTTTTTATAAGAGAAACTAACAATCATTCAGTGGGCAGAGAAATCATGCTGACTTTTGAGATGAAGAAAGATTCACACTACATGTACTTTGTTATTGGGCTCTTCAGGAATTTTTAGTCCTGTTGCAGAGTTGGTTGCACATAGTGTAATGGCTGGATGTGATATGTCAAACTTAATGGGAGTTTTTTAGATGCTTGGTATAGCGGCAAATATGTTGGTAGTTTGCAGCACTTCTGAGCAAGCACGTGTAGTTTTGAGCAAGCGCCCATAGTTCTGAGCTTGCGCAGTACTATAAAAAGGGACCGGTGTGTCTGCTGCCACTGGCATCTCCGTCAAGTCTCCCATTACCTATATACAGTGTCTGTGTGATCTTTGTGTCAAGATACGTGAACATACATTGTGTAGGTTCTTTAACCATCTCATCTTAATATTTGATTAGTTGGTTTTATGCAGATGCCTTGATTGGAGGGGACAACAAACAAAAACAGTAACACACAACAAATCAAAGCCAAAACAAAACCTGGGAATTCTGTCAAATTATATGAAGCTTTGTGACACTTCTATTGCTGACACGTTTTGACGCTGATGACAATGTTCCACTAGCTAGAAGCGGAAAACCAAATCACTGCAGCATGCAAGTGAGTCACTCAGTGAGTGTGCAGAACGTGTGTATGGATAAATTGTGAATAAAGTGCCCCCCTAAGACTGAAAGCTTATGGACCAATCCCGGCATGGGATGACTGTACACTGACCGACCATTACTCATGGAGTCCTGATAAAAAAACTAGTGCCAGCCATTGTTCTGAATAATGACTCTCATCAAGCACACTGTTTTGTTCCGTAGGCAGAACAAATCCCTCTTTGAAAATGGCATTATCTGGCTTCTGTGGGTGCACCCAGGTAAGTAGACCAAACATCTGTCCACCAAGCTCATTAATAAAAGTTATGTACTTAAGATATTCTACATTAGAGAGTTCTGAGAGCCATGGAATTGGGGAATTGAAAAAATATGGCACTGAGCCTCTGGCCTAGAATGAGGAATTCCAGTTCTGAGCAATTTGGATACAGTCAGGACTGAAAGGGGCACTATTTAGCCGTTCTGCAGAAAGATGTTCTTTCAAATTGGAAGACCTCCACTTTGGGAAATATCCACCATTTTACAAGTGGTCTGCTTTGGATGAGAATTTCTCAGAAAGTCATCAGTCAGCTAGCCCAAAATTGAAAGGAAAACAAAAGACGACATTTTGATCAGCCTCAACACCTGTGAGAGTTTTATTTTAAAGAATTTTGAAGTGTTGAGATTTATCAGGGGTGTCGGTGAGAATTTATTTAATGGGGTGCACCCCTATATAATCAAGTGTGCTTGAGAACAGGAGGGCCCTATTTCAAGAGGGTAAAACTTTGAGGAAACATAAAACAGTTTGTCCAAACCAACTGTTATACCCTCCTATAGTGTGCCTGCCAAACCCCAACAAGGCTACAGTGGAACAACTTGATGTTCCATTGCCAATTCAGTTGACTCTGTTTCTATACCAACCAGTTCAAGAAAGATGGAAATTTTGTTTCACCCTCAAGTTTTAGTCATTTTTTTGGTCCTCAGCCTTATGCTTTCCTGCACATAAGGCATTCCAAACAGTGACAGCAGGGGGGCAAAGAGGGGTTTCCCTGCCCCTTTCAATTTTCTCTTGTCCCTGCCCCCATTGCTCATGTAACCTCTGCTTGTTTGTAGAAAAACCCAGTCAGCCTTGCACTCATCGTGTCATGGCTGTAGATGTTTGTTGACCTGTTTATATATCTATCCCGTGAAACATTTTTGTTGTGTGAACCTCTTTCATGGGTGGATTGGGGGAGGGGAGCATCAGGGCTACCCCCCCCCCAAATGGACACAAAAAAACTGTTGGGTCTATATCATTTTACAGTTAAAAAAAGGCCCCAAAATGTAACCTCACACCTCAAAATGGCCATAACAGCTAACACACAAAAATTGACATATTCAGCCTCCCCCCAAAAAACTTTTGGGATCCTCCTCCCCGAAAAGTTTGGTTCAGAATCTGCTCTTGGCTCCCTTCCTCCCCCCCCCCTCGCAACCCCAAAGAGCCTGAGGCAGCCATTGATTCTGAAGTAGCTAAACTCAAAATAAGCTTTTTGGCAGAGTCATATCTCAGAAATCTCCCAGTCAACATGTGACAGTTTACATTTTTTCAAGGCCTTTTCTCCGAGAAATAAAAAGCTCTCGATATTTCTGAACTGGTCATGTGAGGTGATTGTTGGGGGCGCTTCAACTAGTACAGACACTCATCAATTACGTATCCACTTGTGACCTTTTGTGTTGTCTTGGACGGCATCCAAGACTCACTTGGCAGTGCTTCAGTGCCAACCTTTTATGCGCATCCTATCTGGTTGCCCTAACAACCAAAGGTCACCAATTTACAGTACCATCCCAGAGGAAATGAAGCTGAAATGTCAGTGCAGTTCATGAGTGTCGATTTTCCAAGACTTTCCTTGAAACAAAGGAAATTTGCACATTTGTGATGCATTTGTGCATGTTGTAAAAAATATCCACAAAACTGTTCCCAAAGCAAAAAGTTAAAATCCACCGGCAACATCTGTCTCATTTGCAGATTCAACAAAACAAACATTGAGCCAAAAATCAAAAAGGGTTTTGCAGACTAAATTGAAAACTTCACAAACTTTTGTAGTTTGATAAATGTCATGTATTGAATTTAATATATTATACTTTTCTCAAAATATACTATGATACAGTGCATTTACATGTTACACACAACTTTGCAGTTTCCCAATGGCATATAGAGTTGGACTTTGCTGTACAACACACTCATGTAAAAATAGGCCTGTAAATTGTTCTATTGCTGCACATGTTGTCAATGCATGTGATTAAAGGTCAAATTGCCCTTTTTCTGTCTACAGCATTTGAATATGAAAAAATATATAGCATCAACGATAACGCGACTATGTTCAGGTGCACAAAGGAAAAACTACGGCAAGTATCGGACAGTGCCCAGCATTTTGAATTTGTTACGCATTTTCCCTCCCTCAGTGAGTGTGCTAGATACGGTTTGGAAATACATTCAATCTATGAAATGGGTCCAAAATATAAGTTTCCAGTTCGTCTGCTCTTCCAGCATTAGACAAAACTGTACCAGTAAATGTTTAAAAGCACGATACGGCTTTTAATTTTTTTCACAGTGTCACAAAAATTGTCGAATGGAACAAAGTCCAACTTTAAAGTTCACCTTCTTCAAGTCCTACTATAATTCTCATACAAAAGCATGCAAAAAGTACATGGGCTATAGTTCTGATGCAATACCTATTAAACAATTAATTAAAAAAACAACATCCAACAAACAAACACCCCAACACCCCAACAAACAAACAAACAAAACAAACAAGTTGTGTTAAATACGTGATAATGGGTCTAAAGTTGGAAGTAATTTTAACTTCATAATTGTCTACTTAATTAATTAATTCCACTTGCCTGACAGTTATGCAGAACCTATGAAAAACTCAAACTTGTTACTGATGTTACGTAAAATAAAATCAACTAAACAGGTCACATGGCACTTTAAGAATACATAGAAAATTACAATTAATTGAATTATAATAGAAAAAAATTTCAACCAAACATAGCTTCAGATGCTAAAAATGCTAATTTCCTCAATCAATCAATCTTGATCTCATTGCCAGCAATTTGATCGTTATAAAGTTTTATATCACATATTTTCAAATCACATACATGTACCCAGTTACATTCACAAGACTAGCAAACACATGGACTCATTGCTGTTTATAAAGGCATAACTCTGTGCTCGGCCGGTGCATTTAAGACCGGCTCAGGAGAACGGAGGTGACTAATGCCCGAGCAGCATAAGACCGGCCAAGTACATAGTTATTCCCTTAGTAATTATATTTCAACGAATGAGAAATCTAGGAATTGGACCAAACATGAAATGCGATGCAGACATGACCTGTAGGCACATGCAGTGTTTCAGGTCTTAGTGGTTGCTGAGTAATTTGTACTAAACAACCGAAAGAGTTATTAAAGACAATGACCTTGATGCACCCTAGTCTGTGTTACTAATTGGGTAATACATGTTGTAGAATGGAATTGTACACAACAGGGGTACCTTCCATATACATGTACCCAAAATATATAGAAGTCATTTGTACTTTTTTTTCTCATATAACAAAATCCATTCATTAATTTTGAACATCCCTCAGAATGACACTTACTAGTCCTTCAAAGTGAAACTATTCCTCAGAATACCACTAGCTGATGTACATTTACATGTGTGAGTAAAAGCTATTGCACAATTGTGCATTAACTCACATTCAAAACAAATTTTCAAAATGGACATCGCAAACTGGATACTGTTCTGGCGTCTTCCCTCTTGCCATGTATTACTTGTGCTTGAGGATGAAGGGCTCGGTGAGGTAGACTGGTTCCTTCTGTGGCGAGTACATGATGACGTGGTGGTGGTAGAACTCCAGAATATCCTCCACCATGTTGAAGTCATGGTGGGCGATGTGAAACTTGTGGTTGGGCGTGGTCTGGATGACGTAATGGTGGACCTTGGAGCCATACAACACCGACAGCATCAGGTCACCGGTCTGTCAAGGCAGGAAAGTCACACATCTGAGAGTGATTTCACTGTCGCATGCATGTGTGTGGTGAAAGTTGTATAGAAATCAGTTCGACCGAAACTGAATTGAAGTAGCACTTGTTGGAGAAACTGTCTTCAGTCATAACAATTGCCCAAATTGCAAGCTTTTGGGTAGCACTAAATGACCCCTTCAGATACCAAACCGTAGTTGTTTTGTTTGCATTAGTTTGGAGAAAAATGTAATAATGTGATGAAAGAGCAGAGAATGTTCAGTTGTGATTCACATATAAAGGAACATTTCAACATTCAAAACGTTCATCTATAAACTCATGCAAATATATCAAGTTACAATCAATCAAGAATTGAAGGACAACTTTACAAGGCAATAAACGTGTGCGAAAGACAGTGCTCAAGCTCTTTGAAATTGCTGTTTTGCTGAGTATAATACCTTTTACCCTGCATGGGGGTAAAAGGGGGCTAAGATAATGAGACATGAAACTCAATAGCAACTCCACTGGTGGTGGAAGTGGTGGGGCAGAGGCTCCCACTTTTTGCAGGTCCTATCATTGGGGAGGGCATAATGGATCAACCCATTAATGGCTGATGCCTGATGGTCTAACAACTGCCCCCCCTTTAAAAATCGTTCCGCTGCTCAGAATTGTTATTCAACTTAGCAATGAATACAATATAGAAAAACTCCTATTGAATTTGACTACAAAACAACAATGAAAAAACCACAATCGCAAAAATAAATAACAAATTAGTATCGTTATCTCCACTTGTAAAATATGCTAATAGTTTGAGTTGTTAAGATCCTCCAATGAAAAATGAAACCTGCTTCAATTCAGCACCAAACTCTGCCAACTCAATTCCTCCTTACCCAGTCAACAGTTAACCCTGTTCTGAACCCTCCAATTTTATATTTGGATTAGGGTTCATGAAATCAAGACTAACACAATTGTTTTTTCCAAATGTTGACCAAGTGTCTTTGCTCCTCAGTTTTCTGATAATCTTCCATGTATCCATTGTTGGATCAGCTCACACACAAATACAGTGTGAGGCCCAACTCTCTCTGCACCTGCCACAATTTCACTGACCCGTTGCCAGAGCAGCAGGTGTGGCACCACTGGAGCTGTCTTGCAGCTTGGAAAGTTCCACTTGACTCATGCACTGGCCCAATCACAATGGAGCAGTCACGTGCCCAGCTGTTGCCTAAAGTCAAACAGTGACGGATCATTTTTTCCCCAGTAATTGTTCAGATCATGGAAGTTGATGACAGAGACTTTTTTGTCTGGATTGTGACAACCGACTGGAGGACAGGACCTTGTTCAGAGAACTTTCAACTTGTATGGGTCAGGCAAAGTCTGACCACTCTTTAACTCCCTTCCCTAATCTGTGCCAAACTTATTCCACTAATAAAAAGCAGTGCTCCTTTGCGGAAGGATAAGGGGTGGCAGGAGCTACAAGTGTTTCTAGTGGTCTGTACAACCTTTTAATGGAAATCATCTCATTACAACAAGGTTAAAAAGTTGGACCCCACATCTATATTACCACCAAAAGTTTAAACTGTAATGATTTAGTCCGTGCCGAAGTATGATAAACATGTACCGTTGTCTGTGTCCATAAGCAAGGCAGTTTTACATAACCTTTTCTGCCTCTGACGGAATTAATCGATCGCGCCAGCTGAGTCGCATGACCTATAGTGGGTATCAAAAATCAACCAACATGGCATCCTTCCATAGCAAAGTCAAAGTCACAAGTGTTTTTTACCTAAAATAATGCAGATTTTTGGTGTAGTGCTCAACACATTAGTAGTCTGAGTACTTAACCAACCGTCAGCTTTATTTCTGGTAAATGACACTTATGACACACTTTGCTATGGGAGGACGCTATATTTGCTGTTTGGTATCCACTATACATGTAGGTTATGAGATTTACTGGGTGCAGTTGGTCTATTAGTAGAGATACGGTTGTGATAGAGTTAAGGCGCCTTTCTATGTGTATTTTTTGGGTGCGTTGCATGCACGTGTTCATGTGTTTCACTTTCACGGACACTAAAATCGACTCCATTAACATAACACACGTGTGCATTGCGTTTGGTCATCCAAATTGCCCCCTGGAGCGATTCTGATGGATACGTAACGCTTGGCGCAAGTGTTGACGCCCATATGGAAAGGCGCCTTTACAGTGTGGCTGGAATAACTCCAACAATGCGTTACTAATTTTGGGTGAGTGGATTGCAATCTACAGAAAGGCAGCTTACAATGGCAGTTTAAGTGCAAATATGAATTTGACATTTGATTTTCCATACACCCTACAGGGTTAGGATTAAGCTTCACCCTTGTTAGCCACTGTACAATAAGAGCTTTCTGCATGCTCAGTTGTGGGAGATAATTCAAAAGACTGCATGGATAGCAAACCCAAGATCTTGTGTTTTAACTGAACACACAGTGCTGAACAAATTACATGTATGTTGGAAAGGGCCAGTCAAATATTCATATTGACATCTCCTCAATGCAAATAATTCTATCAATGGAACAGTTTCTTAATAATGCCAGATTGATGTGGGCATTAAGAGTGGAGATTAATATTTCACACATCAAAATCAGAACAGAGTAAAACCTCAAATGTTCTCTTCCTCACAGCTGTTGACAGCTCAATCAACACAGTTGCAACAAAGGTGAAATTGATGTAGATGGGAGTTGGAGAAAGCAGCATATTAGGCAACAGTTCTGAGGCAATCCAGCATCACATTTTTTCCCTTTTATGTTTTTGCAGAGCTTGGTCCAGTTAAGACTTGTGCGTGCCAGTATGTAATAAGTAGGATATCTATCTTCACATCCAACTTGTCATCACACCCCTTACCTACCAAAAAATGACTCAACATGACAAAGCTCTCTTGTCTGTCTCAACTCTGTGTCAACTAGCAAGGTTCGTACTCCTGGGAAGAGGTATGCAGAGCTGCACATCAAGGAGCAGGCAGCCAAACTCCAGGTGTATGACACATACACACTACGTCAGTGACTCAAAGCCAAACATAAGCCCTTGGGATCCTGGAGTGGGGCAGTGTGATGGCTGATAGAGACTTTTCATTCACACAAGATTCATTTGCTGCACTCCTTTCATGGACTATTGTGTCCTAAAATGTTAGGTTGAACTTTTTTTTCTTCAGGTTGCTGTCACTAAGGATCAATGTTTGCTACAACAGGCCCACATGTACAGCAGGCAAGTTCAAATTATGCAGTAGTCTGTCTCCACAGACTTCTCAGATGCTGTGGGAGTTCACGACACACAGGAACGAGACATACATGTACACGTATGTACATCAACCAGCTCATCAGGCAGCACTATGCTTACCTGTCAGCTGCCCCTACAAACACAGATTCCTGGAGTGTATTTACGTTTCCTCGTGCACAAGGTGGTTGAGGATACTCATTTTCTTCTAGTCAAGAACCACTCATCAGGAATCGGCCCTAAAAGAGCTGGGGGAAGAGCAGGATTTCCCAAGATTTTCTCCAATATCATTGCAGCACATTTTTTAAATATTCTGAGCCTGAAAGACTATTTTTTGGAGGGGGGTAACATCTTGCATTCATTTTGACACGAATTATGTGAAAATCAGACATGGCGTTCTCTCGTAGCATGTCTTTTGCCAAGACAGGTCTGCCAAAAATCTGCACTATTTCCACTGGTGTGCTCAATACATACATGTATGGGCCAACACAAGTGAGGCCATGAGCTTCGAATGACCATAATATCAAAACCCCATAAACAATTTTACCGATAATAGGTGTCTTTACATGCGTGCTAAGTTGTAAAACGATTGGACGTGTGACTGCCAAGGTCTGAGATGTTCGGAGTTGTGAGATGGTTGAAAGTGACCCAGCTCTGTCTGTTAGGGTTATAGAAAGTGTGTTGGAGTGTTGCATGGAATGATGGCAGATCTCTCCTCTCTCCCTTCCCATGGGTCAAGCATCAGCAGTACGATACGTGCCACAATTAAAACATAATACAGAGGCAACATGCTCTGTTGACACTTGTCACAAGTAGCTCTGAGTGCATAAATCAGATCAGGGAGTTTTGGTAACCGAGTTGTAGCAATCAACGTTCGTCTGCAGATTTCAACATCCAGTCTCAATTACTTTTCTGACAGTCTCTTTCACTTTCCTCCACCACTGCAAAACAAGATGTGTCAGCCCTGCTTTCAAACCTCCCTGCCATGTCCTCTGCCAGTTGCATTGAAACCTGTATGGCAGGAAGTACCTGAACAAGACAGGAAAACAGGGCAGGTTATGCTAACTCATAGCGTGGGACTTTTTCTCCCTGTCTTCCAACTCCCCAGCCATGGATTCCAAGACATCCCGTCATGTTCACGCTGTCACATGTGAAGTTGATACAGACCAGACTACCTGTACCTACCCTTTAAATACTCCTGGCAAGTGTATCCCAGGTTGTAATTTTTGGCATCTGTATCAGCTGTATCTTTCATCCTACCAACCTTACGTCAAAATAATCCCAATGTAAACAGTGCAAACAGTCCGGTCTTTGCACGGGTGCAAGGTGCATGCATGGTGGCAATGAAAATGAAAGAGGGTATATAATATGTACTTGTGCACAGAGCATGCGGCGCCCAAAAAATGTAGATCGGTGCATTTCAGTTTTTTGAGTTGTTACACTGGTAAAACCGCCCTTTGATATTGCCAATTTTAACAGTCAAACATACAACTCAGCATCTTAACAGTTGGAAATTGAGAATAGTATGCTGAAATTCCACTTCAGAGAGAGAGAAAAAATAGCTACAGCAATGTGTCTTGCTCAAGAAAACAGCTACGTGTACACTGTCCCTAATCCCGTGGAGAGGGTTGAAGCCAACTTTGATTACTGCTCCAGAGCTCAACACTTTCATGTTGCTTTGACAACAAGACTCAAACTAAGGGCTTGTAACAGCTTTTGAGAAAATCCCAAACCAGAACCTACTCTTTACGATTTGCGTCAACCTAGAAATATAAATGACAAGGCAAGAACAATAGCACATGGATAGTGATGACATCATACTCTCATAGGGCCCTACTGTACCCCCTCCTTTCCCATGATGACAGCAACTCTTGGAAGGGTCAGTCCAGTGTCACCAATTGCTGAAGGTTAATCTCAAAACACATCTGGAAGTGGTTGCTCCTCTCCATTGTTCTCAGTTTTAACTCTTGTCCAACAGTGATTGGAATTGGGACAAATGCTGAATCCAAGCGTCCATGTCTTCCTAATTGGAAATGACAGCCCAATTGAGACTGTTGCTTCAACCGTGCTTCAAACGGTGTGATACACAGGAAGATTTCATTAGAACACTAGGGCACAATGAGATCATACATGTATGCTTTCAAAAATACAGCTTAACATACTTAATGTCTTTGTACCCTGTGCCTTGTTTGCATAATATGCTTATAATGCTGTGGGCCTTTCAAATCATGCTCAATTTGTCCTGAGATCTGATAACTAGCGGAGTTGAGATGACATAAAAGACAAGAAAAACCAAAACTCTAGGGCTGCTGAGATACTTGTTAATATATGTGATTTGTGGAAAGTTATAGCTCAGTGTCTGTGTTATGAGGCTTAGTGGAGGAAAATAAAAGGAAAAGCAAAACCCTCCATTAAGTATTTACATGTACCCCCCCCGACTAAATCTGTCCCATTACCTCAAAAGTCACACTACCTTAAAGTGTAGCTGCAATGAATTTTTGTTAGACACAATTTTTCTGCAACTTTGTACTCTTCTTCAATGTGTGAAAACTCCTTTATATTCCTATATGGTTAAAAGCGCAATTTTTTAAAACTCTTAAAATATCCATGCTTTCTTAGACAGTGCTGTTGCTGTGATGTCATTCAGAGAAGACATAGTTCAGTACATATTTTTGCTGCTCAAATTTTGCACCCAGATTTTACATACTTAAGACATTTCTGAGAAAGGGTTTGATGGTTGCTTATTGCTATGCAAAACAACACAGAATCAGCAAAGAAGAGAGAAATTTAGTCAAGCAAAATCTACAAAAATGCAGCTTTTTAGTGTGCAAACAAATGTAACATTAAAGCTTTCTTCCTGGGATGACATCACAGTTTTGCTCACGAATATGGAAACATCATAAGTATACAGGCCAAAAAAGGCAGAAAAATACCCTTTAATGAAATAGTGAAACAAAAGTTCAAACTAAAGACATAAAGGTGCATTTTAAAGGATTGAATAAAACAAATTGATTGCAGTTACCCATTATTGTAGGTCAATCAAAGCATGCTCAAGTTGTCCAATGACACATATCCACCGGAACCCTTTTGAAACTACTGCCACTAATGCCTTCACATCATCTGCATAACAAACATTGTGACCATTGGGAGTTTCCGTTGCTGATGCCAGTGACCACATACATGTATGTATGCACTCATGCCCAGTGATTTTCGGAGAGGTGATTAAAAACTGAATGAAACACTGTGATCTTCACTGCAGTGCAGGATAACTCACCCTATGTGAACTATCCCGTACGAGATACTGACAGGACTGGCCCTGAGACAGCATGAGGAACTCACATTCCTGCCGCAGCATGCGTCCATAATACCAAGGCTGGTTGCCTGCACATCCAAAAGAAAATAAACATCTTGTACTGTAAGTCGCACTTAAAGTATCAGCATTGCTTTTACACGTTAGTGGGTAAATCACTTTTGGGGACATTTTCTGTTGGTTGCGATCCTCTTGAATCAATGATGCAGGTGCAGGTAAAAGGTAAACTGGAGACTGACTGTGTGTGGCTGAGTTTGGCAGTCACAGCCAAACACCACTGTCAACCATGGGATTATAAAATCCACAGATTTTCAAGCTTGCTCTTATTGGAGAATACATTTAGAGATGAGACAAGGTTTGCAGGGGGCAACTTACCATAACTGGGTCTTTCCGGTTTTGACTTGGAGCTTGCTGAGCCATTGCTGTCTCCACGGTGCCTCTTCCCATGACCCCGCTTTTCCCTATCACCATGGTGACCTTTCTTCTCAGCATGTGCTTTCCTCTCCTCCCGTGATTTCTTCTCTCCAGTGTGTCGCTCCCGGTGTTTCCTCTCCCGTTTCTCTCCATCCTTGATCAGGTGGCCCAGGGCTTTGCTGATGCTAGAGGATTTCTCAGCTTCTGCGACCTTCCCACCAAGGCTCCCGGTGCTGCCGTGGGAGTCCCGCCGGGGTGAGCTGGCATGGCTTGGTATTTCAGGCTTTGGACTGGACGGGACCTCGGGGGCAATACCATGGGCAACTTTCAGTGGTGCCAGGCCGTGATGGTTGCTGATACTGAGCCCAGAGCTGTGGTGCAAGTGTCCATGCTTGCAAGGTGTGGCATACAGGGCCTCAGACGAGTCGTTCAGTTGCTGATGAGCTGAAGCAGAAGAGCCCTGCTTTGACTTGATGTTGGGGCTGGCTGAACCACCTGGACACACTGGTGTGGTAGCAGCACCGATGTGGCTTAGGATGGCCGCTGTGCTGCCAAAGCTGCCCTGCCGAGTGTGGCCATGCTGCTTACCCTGCTGGTACTGGCTGCTGACCTTGGCCTGGTTGCCTGGATGGGTATGATGGCTGGCTTGGTTATGTTGGTTGCCTTGGCCCTGGTGATGATGGCTTGCTTGGTGATGTTGGTGGCCTTGACCCTGGTGATGCTGATTTCCTTGGTGATGCTGATTGCCATGGTGATGCTGATTGCCTTGGTGATGCTGGCTGCCTTGGTGATGCTGGTTGCCTTGGTGATGCTGGCTGCCTTGGTGATGCTGGTTGCCTTGGCCTTGATGTAGCTGGGTGCCTTGGTGGTGCTGGCTGCCTTGGTGTTGTTGGTTGCTGTATTCAGCGGCGACTGAGGAAGATGCAGCATGCACATTATTACTGCTGTGGGTCCTAGGTGCCGGGATAGGACGGCTGGAATGAATCTCCAGGCTATCTCGAGGAGAATCACTAGCATTAGAGCATCGATCCTTGGAGTGAAAACAAAAATTACTATCAACATTTTATATAAGTTTGTAAAATGGGCAAGTGGATCCTTGTTCATCGTCAAACAAAGAAGTCTTCAAAACCATGTTTGATCATTTATTTTGAAAAAGGAGGGGTATTAAAGCAACAACTTTGTCTACATATGACCGTGGGAGAAATAATGCAAATTCTTTTTGTCAAAAAATTGAAGAAAGTCTTTAGGGTGGCTTAGAACTGAGCTCCGCTAGGATGGCTCAGGGAAGGTAAATATGGATGTTCAAACATTTAAAACCTTTCTCTCACCAGACTGACAGTCCGGTCATCCAGGAAGACATTCTCGTAACGATGGGAATTGTCCTGCTTGGCTTTGCAAAAGGCAACATTCATGTAGGTGTCATCACCAACTTGTTGGGTTGCTGTGGTTGAATCCAGACTTGCCTGCTGGTGGGAAGGCGGTGAGGGCATCGGTCGTTGGTTCAGATACAAGGGATCATTGATGCTCTCTGAGGACGATTCTCTACTCTGTTGCCCAAACCGCGGGGCAGGGATTGGTTTGCGAGCTTGTTGCTGGGAGCCATCCATGTATCGATACTCCCCAGATGCTGTTTTCTGGCCGTCCGGTGAGCCCCGTTCCCTACTAGACTTGATAATTGGCAGAACAGGAATGAACTTGGTACCCACCGAGGACACATCAGAGAGCTGGCTTGGCATCCCTTCCTGGGGTGAGCTGTCCCCTGAGGAAGAGTGGCTGCCAGAGTGGGAGGCATAGCCGTCTGGCTCGCCCGAGATGCGGCCAGTGAGCTTACGGCGGGCGAAGGCCTTCTCCAGCTCGGTGCGATGACGCTTCATCACAGGCGAGCTGCGGAGGATGTTAGCCGCTTCAGGCGAGAGGGGTGGGGGTTCAACAGCAGCACCACCAGCCCCTGAAGACACGTTGAACTGCTGCTCCTGGGTGCACAGTGCTGCCATTCGGGCCACCATAGCTGGATCGTTCACAACTTCATAGCCGTCCCCAGAGGAGGACTTCCGACGTGCTTTCATCCTTATAGCCTGCATAGCATGGGTAAGTTGACAAGACGGGGCTGAACTGGATAGCATCCCTGAATCCAGTGATGATGCCTGTGCCTTCTGGAGATCGACTCTTGTCCGACTACTCACTAACTCTGCCTCTTCCTCCTGGTAACCCTGCTCTGCAGTGTCAGGGCTCCAGGGCTTTTCTCGAGGTGGAAGTGTGCGCGTCTTGGGTGGTGCAGGCTCTGTCTCTTGCTGGGCCTTGATGGTCTCCACAATCTCTGGGTCACTGGGAAACTTTCGGGAGCGGGTGGGTGTGGACAGGGCTCGCCTTCGGGGTGGCGAGTTGGGAGGAGTCTTTGGGGTTTCCAGTTGCTGCTGTTGCTGCTGCTGGTGCTGGCATGAAACAAATATAAGAGAAGTGGCATAAAAACACACTTTTCTAACTCTGGCTGGTAACCATTTCAAGTGTGTGTGCTTTCATGTCAGCAAACTGGATTCAGCTATCATATAACATTGTACGAATGAGGACATAACAACCAAATCAAATGTATCTTTTGAAGCCCAAATCCACTTAATGAATTCTTAGGACCCTCTCTAAAAAAAATCTTGATACATTGTATTAATCCAGGGAAGTTGTCTCTAGATGTCGGCATAGTCACATGACCCAACATGTCAGACCAGCATGATGATTCAAGTGGTGTACAGACCACAAAAAGCCGACAATGGCAGACAGCCAAGTAATAGAATGTCAAAAACACCTACTTAATGACTCTGCAACTTCCAACCATGGCCTGCTGCCAATCAGGTGAGGCTATTTCAAAACTCTGATAAAGGTTTCAGGAAAACCACAAGATTTTAATCCCTGCACACCTAGACTGCATGCTTTACAGCATTTGCAGAATTGGCTGTTCATACTTGTTGACTGCAAGGGTTAGCAAAATCAGGCCACATTATCTATCCAATATGTCCAGCATAATAAGGACCATGCATAGTCTGCTCTGTGTAAACCTGGGACGGATATCACAATGAGCTGACTCATGAAGTTGATTCACTTTTTTTTTCAGTTTGAGTGTCTTAGTGCAGGTATATTTACACCATTTCCCCCCTCCCACAAAGTCACACTGACTTGCAAAACATGCTTAAAATGCAACCTCGTAATTGAACAGATAAAGCTAATTGCCCTTTGGAAAAGGCAAACCACTGGTATCTAACAAATCAACAACATGATGAAAAACACACTAGATGTACTTATCATCGTGGGTTTTACTTCTGATGGATTTAACCTTCATGTACCATTACATTTTGTGCACTGTATATGCACATCATAAATTTCTTTATATTAGAAAACCAGTTGTCAAAGAAGTACATCATTCACACGTGCATAATTTTCAAAATGTTTTTTAGACGTCCAGCTATTTGCCCTGCCCTGAGAAATGAGTCCTAATGCCATTTTTCAAAAAAATTTTTCACTCCTCATTTAGAAAGAGCAAGTCAAGATTTCTGTATCATTTCTTTTGACATCCTGATAAAGTGGTCATTGAGTGGGTAAAAAAAAAGGATTCCTGTTGATTTTCATAGGACTTGAAAGGTTCTTTCCAGCCCGAAAGTCAAAAGTGGCTCTAGTAACTTGTTACTCATTTTCAGAGTGAGTCACAATGTATCTTCTATTTACCTGCAGCTGCGCCTCGCTCAGTTGACTCCCCTTACGTTCCAGTTTGGCATGGGTCCCATGCCCTGCCCTTTTCCGTCCCCCACCCCCAACCGGGCCCCCTGGGACCGAGGTGCTGACTCTGGTGGCCTGATGGCTACTCTCCTTGCTGGTCTGCGAGGCGAAGGTGAAGGTGGGGGCTGTGGAGCTGTGGTGAGGGGGAATTTCGGGAACTTTAGACCTTGTCCCTCCACTGTCGGCCTTGTCCTGACTGGCACTGGTGGATGTCGGACTGGAAATTTCCAACAATAAATATGATGCATCACTGCCGGGGGGGCAAAGGAAGCCACTTGGCAAAGGGAGTCAAAGAAACACAAAAACAGAGGTGGAGGGGATGAAAATTACCAATTTGCTCAAAAAACCTCAAAATTGACTCCCTTCTGCTGTTTATGTTCATTTTAAGCTGATAAGTGCTTTACTCCCCCCGGAAATTGCCCCCACTCCACCTCCAGGGCTTACCCCCCCCCAAAAAAAATCCTGACAATGCCCATGGCATCAGCATGCTAAAGACATCTAGTTGAAATGGTGCTAACCCTCCCTTGTCTTGTTCATTACATTCCTGGAATTTCAAGCGTTCTTTGGAGAAAACTTTGGAATTGTTTGTGTTTTGGAACAATATGTGTAGTTTGTGTACTAGGATAAAGAGGCATTGGGAACAAAGGAAAATACCTTCTAGCTCTCACAGAGTGCCTTAACCATTTGCTGCCGGGGGGGACCTGTTTTCGAGCACATAGGCTTTATACATGGAGCCGGGGAACCCGAAATGGGACAAAGGGAACAGGCCTTGTAACAAAAGACCGAACTCAGAACAAAAGACCAGGTTGATGGGCATTACCGACATTTTTTTACTCTCACTAGTGGAGATAATCCAGCCTTGTTTTGAAACAGTATACCACGGTTTGGGGCATTTAGAGCGAGCGGATTACCACCGGGGACAAAAGCACTCCACCACTGCAGTAATGAGCCACACAGCACCGCTGCACACTAATCTGGCCTCTATTAAAAAGAGGTCAGCAGCGCACTGTGCCAGGTTCGTTAACAAAAGAAAGTTATATAACACCGCACAATGTGGGCTCTATTTACAAGGCTCCAGGCCTGGCTTAAATAATTGGGCATCAATAGATTTTGTCTGTCAGACTGGAGTGGCCACCAGACAGTAATTTGTGTGGGTGTAAACGTCCAGTAATTGAAATGATAAATTTCTGAAGAATTCTGAAAACTGAAAATCTTGGAAAAGTCCCGATTATGTGTACTGCATTTTTCAAACCACCCGGCAGCAAGTGGTTAAAGAGAAAAAGACATTTTACACAAATGTGTATAACAATAACGTAACTGCAGAGGAAAGAGCCAGTAATAGGAAGAGTTAATACAGCACAGAATGAATATGACTTCCCAAAAAAAATCAGCTCACCTGGCATTTTTGTTGGGGAAAATAATGGTGCTGTAATTGACCCTGCTGCTGTTGCCATTGGAGACTTTCACGACTGGTGACTTGTCTGAGCCATCTCTGAAGAAAGGAAGATTGGAGTAAATGCAGATGGTAATTGAAAGATACTGTATTTTGCAGAAGGAAATTGTTTCTATCTAAAGCCACTCCAAACTGTACATTTGACTAATATCTGTTACTTTTTACAATCAGTCACACCATTTTCACCTAAAATCACCTAAAGGAAACATAGGGATAACTCCTAGGAAAAGGATTTACTGAAAACCTGAATTACAAGTACTGTTTGACTGTAAAGAAATGGCAGTAACGGGAAGAAGCAAAGTAAATCTGATTGACTACCGATAATAACTTGCTAATAGCAGAACCTTTGGTGCCGAGTAAAAACATCATGCCAATAACAACAGTTTCGTGGCACTGGGTCCAGAGGAAATAGAGGTAATTTGTTCCTCTGGCTTGTTACAGGGTATGGAATTAGCTGATCGAATTCTTGGCAAATGCCTGATTAAATTTCATGTATTTTACTTTCGCATTTGTGTTCAATCACCTGATATTGAGAAGAGCTTGTCAGTCTATCATTTTCAGTACAAATCTTGGAGGGGGTACATGTTAATACTGTCTAGAACTTCCCTGACCCTAGTCTGATATAAGCCCCACCCAGGGGCTAGGTCTTTGGGTGTAGTCAATTTGTCTGCATCCGACTTCATTTTGTCTGTGAATGTTTGTTTACGCTTGTGATTAGGTGCCAGGTGCATGAATACTCCAACAAATTAAATTACCTTCTCTTTGGTGGTCCAATTTCAACCTCCACATAGTTCAGCCTGTACTTGTCTGCTACAAAAAACAAAATACAACAAAAGGCAGGATAACTCTGTGGACATGTTAATAACTTACCGATTGCACCAGCGAAGCACAGAAAATTAACAAAGCCGGTCTGTTTTGCAGAGTAGTACTTCTAAGTAATTTTATGATATCTTTATACAAAAACTGTCCAAGAAAAGTTAGATACATGATTTTCTTCATGCAAACTTCTGCTGGAGTTCTTTCCTGGGCCTAGCTGAAAAACTGATGTTTCATTCTGATGGCACCGTTTATGATGCTTCAAACCTCTTAACCGTGGTGGGAAATGGAAAATGACAAGGTTAAGGCTCCAACCAATCAAAAGAGAAGCTTATAAGCTCATGGTGTGTATACTAGGGAACTCGGCCTGGGATTTGAGGGTCACAGAGTCATAATCCATCTCCTTAGCGGTGAAGAATCCCCCTTCACCACCTGCTCATTTCAACCGGGGAGTTTTTATTAGTTCAGTGCGTCAGCTAGAGGCACCACAGCTAGTTGTCTATCCCAGAGGAAGAGGGGAATATATTCCCAGTCATCATGAACGGCATGTAAGAGATCATCTCAAGCTTGATAAGTTCTAAAAAAAAATTTAACCATGGAACCTGACTTTACTTTGACTCACTTCATGCCAAGAAGGCGTTTGAAAGACTTGCACAAAAGGCTGGATGGTTCCTTACACAGCAACAGGCCAAGTTGTACATCGCAACTTTTCCCCCGACAAAAATTAAAATTACTTCAGAGTAAGTCTTATAACACTATTTTGTGCAGCTTTCTTGAATATGGGAAGATGCATGTACCTGATATAGTTACACTTACATGAAGCATGTTTCTGTTGTCTTAAATCAGTAAAACGTTACTGAAATTATATAGAAGGATCATGTTTGTACTGTCTTAAATACAGGTACTGTGAATGCTTATCAAGACATTCAGAAGTGGCTAGGATGAGTCACTGGTTTCTGTAGATTGGATGAAGGGATATCATGACACTCATTGTCACTGAATGTTGGATTTCAGCGGACTTGAATCTTTTCTAACACTGAAGCCATCTACTCTTGAAGAATTCCCTCTTCATTAAAAGCAACACAAATCGATCCTGTCATCTCTGATGAATGACAGAATTTGTGGAGTTTAAAAATATCATCATGGAGGAAAAGGGACAGAGAATTAGTTTTATTCTGAGTTTCCTTTGTGGTTTGGGACTGTTGCCAGGTGCAGAACGTGATTTCCGTGAACACCGGACACTGCTCCCACTGGCTGGAGGCCCCAAAGGGGCTCACATTTTAAAGTGAGTTTTAAAGTCTTGTGAGAAATTCCTGGTTTAAAGTGGAAACCAGCCCATCTTCTTTCCGTTAGTTTCATGAAGCAGCTAGGCGGGAAATTCTGCACTGCTGAAGGTTATTGCCCAGAGCACTTCAAATTTACAACATTTCCACTAAATTATGTTTGTGATTTTTTACATTCTAAACGAATTAGGTAATTATTACACATTTTTCATGCAAATTTCTGACCTTTTTTTGTTAAAAAAGAATTCTCCATATTATGTTTTTCTTTCCTTCCCCTTGAATAGTATGACATCTTCATTTCCAAATGACACTGTAGACTCGATCTGCATATTACACAATAATCACATAATATGCATGTCACTTCTCCTTGTGATAAGGGTGTTTCACAATAGTGCGCCAGCAAGAGTTTGCAATGCGTTGGTCAATCATAACACGCGAAATTTGTTGACCCTTTCTAGACGCGTATTTGGTCAACAAATTTCGCGCATTGTGATTAGCCAACGCGATGCAAACTCTTGGTGGTGCACTATTGTGAAACGGCCGTATTGATTATACAAGGGAAAAGGCCAGGTAGAATCATGTTTTTGTTTATCATCCTTTTCAGCTAGATCCATTGCCTTCAATTAAAAATGTTCTTCTTCAGGACTCGCTTTCATTAAATCCTTCTGTGCAAATAGTAACAGCCATTTCACCAAAAGTCAGACATTTTCAATAATATGAAACAAAGAACTTATTTTACATGGCCTTTTAATGGCTGAAAAACCAAAAGACACATGGCAATGCGAAACAGAAGCCAGACCCAATACAAAATAAACACATGCATATAAAACTAATCGTTTTCAGTTTGTTTTTCCTTGAAAATTTCAAACACTATGAATTTTTTTCTTCAAGCACAGAAGCATTGGATGAAGGATGATAAACACAAAAACACGTCAACTTTCCCTTTTGCATAGATCTGAGGGCACTATAGCAAAATCTATAATTGGAAATACAGACATTTCGAAGAGGGCTTGCTTCTTCACTAAGTTCCTGACCAAAGTGAATGAGATGCTGACATACTTGTATATGGCACTTGCTAAACGGCGCAATACACAAAGCGACTTGAAATTGCCAAGTGCCCTCTTTTGGTGATGCACAAGGGGTTTGTTCAGCTATTCCACCTAGCCTTACCCGGAATGATTAGGCTCTTGGACTGTTGGCGTCGGAGATGCACATACTTGGATGTTTTGCGAATTAGAAGAATGTTCTCCTTCCCTGTTTGCTGAGCCAGCCACTTGGTGTCCAAATTCTCAGAAAATGAGGCTGAAATTCGTTTAGTTGACAAAACAGACAGCAATTTTCAGACTTAAAACCACACCTGCTCTGGTTTTGTCTATTAAACAACAGAGTTGAAAATACATTTTACCTTCAGAACTAAGGCTTGCCTCCTGAAGAAATTCCCTAAAACTCACACATTCATCTAGGTAAACAACGAAGGATTAAGCAAAACAAAATGAAAAACACAAAACAGAGGGAAAAAGGCACAGCAATCTTTGACCTTTGAAGTCTCACCTTGTCTGGAGGTTACTGTAGACATCATTTTGACTTAGAGGGTGGTGAGCCTTACTCATCCAATGCAGATAATATGAAAAATTGCACTGGATTAACCTGGCAAATCCCTAAAGGAAAAGGGGAAATATGATGTCATTTTACTGCATAATGTAAATGGGCACCACTAAGAATGGAAAATGACACCCTTATTGGCCACTTCGTAAGACATGTAAATGTATAATGTTTACCTCATGACTTCAAGTTTGTTCTACATTGTTCCACTTTGCGGCAAGTACACGAAAGGTCTTTTTTAGTTCGTGTCAGTTTGCGGGGATCTTAATACTCTAATAATGCAATTTTTGCATTTTGTTGTTTTTTTTTGCTTTAACCAATTCTACAGCTGGTTCTGTGCTCTTTGAATAGCATACTGTGAAAATTCACAAAAGATACAATGTGGCCAACAATAAACAAAACTCAGTCAAGCCCACAGGACCAGTGGGTGCTTTAACCTCTGAGACAGCAATCCCTACATTTTGGATGAGAGTGGTAGATAACGCTGAAGCACCCCTTGCAGTTAGTAGACATAAATGTAGCTCCTGTAAACCTGTAACCTAAGGCACAGAAGCAGGCCTTTCAACTGTCAAAGATGACTTTCCTTATTTCAACTGATTAAACACAAATGGAGGTGCGGATTTGAAGTGGAAATTAAATTTGTGTTAGTTGCCTCAAAAGGTTAACAAACATTTCCAAATATTTTAGTGGAAAAAATTCGCATAACTACATGTACATATAAGAAGCATTTTCAGAAATTTCATTTGAAGTTGGTCAAAAGTTCCCTACAAAAAAAACACTGAAATTCCAAAATTTCCTTTATCTCGGAATTGTCTTTTTTGTTCGTGAATTCTGAAAACTAGGTCCTGAAATTCATGTAAAACTTCAAACTTTTAAAGATCTTCAGTACTGTTCTTGAGATGAGTCTTATCGTTCACCAATCTACTACATGTATGTGCGTACCTTTGCTTTCCTCGTGCACTAACTATGCATATCAACTTTTTTACCTCCCTAGACTCAATCTTGGCAAAAAACTTTTTCTACGTAACCTGGTCTTGATCACACACGGAAACATCCCCCCTGAGCACTGTGCAGTAATACGTTCAAGTAGTTACCACTGGACAAAGACGTCAGCCCAGTGGAGGAAAGCACTCCAGTGGGGGAAATTTGGCAAGAAGACAAAAAAAACCTGTCACACGTATGTGGTGGATAAAAACGAACCTGAACCCAGCAGGCCAGGATATGAAGTTAACGACTGGCTTCCCTCTTGCGAATCTTGTGCTCTGATGACACATGGAATGAGTCACTTTGTCACTCTCATATTGAAAATTTCAACTCGAATTGTATGATTGAAAACACTATGCTGTTATCTTTAAGCAACTGCCAATCTTACCCTTCAAATATAAATACAACTGCTTCCAAGAAATTTTGGTGGATTCCTTACTTTATAAAAAAAAAGATAGCAGTTACAATGGATAATTTTATTATGATGCCTAGAACTGATTCTTAAAAGTGAACATTTCCCCTTGCTTTTGTCACATGCCTTTCTCCATTCAAAAATTGTAAACAACATACAGGAGTTGGCATTTGTCAGACAAAATATTTCAAAACATTGAAATCAAAGGGCCTTAGTAAGCCATAGATATTTTGTAGTGCTTCCCCTTCTTTTCTACCTTGAGAAGATTTCTAATACTTTCTTCACTTTACCACACATTTTTTAATGTTGAAGAACTTTTTTCCAAAAATAACTGAGATGAATGAACAATTCAACAAAAATGTTAGACATTTCCGAATCTAACAAGGCTTTCACTTTTCATGATGTAAGCAGAAATTGAAGCTTCACACGACGAATTCTTACCTATTTAAACCATATACATGTAAGTCCCCTTTTGCCACCTTTTCAATACACATCCACCTGTCACTTTTTGCCTGTGCTTTCCTGCTTATTGTCACATTCCAATTCAATGCATGTCAGAGATGAATATAGTTTTTGATTAAAGGAAACAAGAAGATGTTATCCTGAAGCAGGAATATGAAAGCATTGTTGTCTCGTTACGCATTAAACATCACATCCAAAACCAAATGCAACACACACAGATCCATTTTGTGAAACGATTGAATCATTCAATGACAAGATTTAATATGGAGTAAAACCTAGTATTGGATTCCAGTTGTATAGATTAGGATTTTCTATTGTTTAGTTTCATCCACAGACTTCATTATGCTTAGTTGATTATTATTTTAAAAAATAAATATATACTGTGAATGTTGTGAAAACAATTTCAACAATACCGGCCAGAGTGTTTTCTACAGGCACAACAGGTATACAACATCAACAGGCAAACTGTTTCTCTGTAAAAACAAAAAATCCAATCTTTCTTCTCACCTTCCTGAGACTGTTTCATGCAGTTAATAAGTGGAAATATTCCTTGTTGGTTAAGTCCTTTTGCTGAGAGTCAGCAGCTATATGTTCCAGATCAACTGAGTGAAGTTTGTGGCCCAGCTCAGAAAACAGTGAGTCCTGGTATCTCAATACGAGCAACTGTCTGCACAAATGGCTAGGTTGCAAAAGTTAGTCATCATCGGCATATTCTTATTCTTGCAGAGACAATCCAGTCATCCAGCAGGAATGGCTTCAAATTTATAGACAGCTAGCAAACTGGAACTTCTGACAGCTGACCACATGCATTACATAAGTCCAAAGAGCCTGGGAAAACCCTTGGCTGAAACTGTGGCGAGCATAGAAGTCAAACCTCAAATCTACAAATAAAAGGCAGCTTGAAAGAGCTCTAACTATACAGAAAATAAAAGTGGAAAAAAAGCTGACGGTGAGAACAACTGGTACACACAACTTTCCACGCTGCGTGAAGCAAGGAAACTGACTGCTGCTGCGTATGGGCATCTCGCAGTACGTCACCGTTTTTCATCAGCAGCCCCCCCACCCCCCAGCTATAAGTAACGTTCACATGTTCTGGTGTCATGGAGGACTGTGCCACGTTTAAGGGGTCACCGGAGACTTGTTACAGTGAGTCATTTATTAGGGATCATCCTGTGTGTGTGGTGGGGGGGGGGGAAGAGCCATGTCAACTACTGATACTGAGAAATCAACAAGGGTAAAACGATCTTAACAGATTGAAAAAGAGTGTTACAGCATTTACATAAATCCCAACTGAGTGACCGGAATTGACGACTATTGACCACTGACTGGAAACATTCTTTCTGACAGTTTGGGGAAAAATAACAGACACATGCCCACATGTACATGTATTGTGTTGGCCCATAAATAAATATGAGACGATTAGTTTCTCCAATCTCTTGGTCAAGGCATTAACTAATGACTAAGCAATTATAAATCAAGTTCTGTTGATGTTAATTTTATCATCATTGGTTTTGCTTGCTTGTACTGAAAACACATATTTACTTGTTTATGGAATTATTGAGCTTTTTGGTGTGGCAATCAACAACAGTGAATGCTTTTGTGGCTCATGTCAGAGCATGGATAATTTTCAACATTCAAAATTATCTGCCAGGCTTCTATGAAAGTTAATAATTACTACCAGGCTTTACAGTAAAGAAAATTAAGCTACATGTATATAATTCCATGTGTACAATCAGTATCAATCCAGCAAAATATGAATACAATTTTGGCTGTGGCATGAGCTACAGATGTACGTTTGGTCACTGCAAAGAACCGTCATCCCACTGCATCTATTCGGGTTTCATCTGATCAGTGTCCCAATCTTGCTTGTTAAAGCCTCCGTCCCATTGCAATAATGCAGCTCTGCACCCTGGTAGCTACATGTACGCTACTGGGACATGCATGTTATTTGTTTGGACCTAAGAACAAAGGATGTCCACACAGAGCAGGTACAACTAGCAAAAACTGTCAATGCAACATTACTTTTCGAGCTTCCATTTGTCAGTGAGTTTTTCTTTTCGCCCCTGGGCAAGACAGTGCTGTAGCACATTCATTAGTGAAATGCATACTGCTGCTGGCACATTTTGAAAGCGTACCTTTATTGCTGACTACACGATGTACTGCACCATTGAATGCTGTCCGAATAAATGTGTTTTCAAGGGAGACTAAAAATGGTCCTCAATCCACCTCAGAAAAGAACCAAGTCTTGAACATACAAGCAAGGACATTACAACTAGATGAGACTGAATGTTATGTGCACTCTTGTGGCATCAAGATGACACAAAGCACCTGTTACAGTAAATTTGTTGCACATACCCACTATCATAATTTATTGTAAACCCCTCAAACCGTCACTTATTGTCAAATTTTTCAACAAAACTGTCTACTTGGGGATACAAACCCTTCTTCTGCAAATTACTCAACTTCCCTGTTGTTGTAAGGGCATGGCTTCATACTTGGTCTTGGTGGTTATGGGAGCAGTTCGGTGACCGGAGACACAACAATACTGCCCAAATGCCAAAGGAAGTTTCACATTACTCTGTGCCATGTAGGGGGCTATTTCGAGAGGTTCCGAACCAAATGTAGTAAACTGGTCTCGTCAGAGTCAGTTTAGGCTGACTTCACCCAAAATGCAAGCCCCGTTCCTGTCTGATTCTGCTTTGAGCCACATACATGCAGGGTGACGGCAGTTGGTTGAGACCTCACTTTGAGCTCATGTCAAGAGATTTTGAAAAACCTACATGTAGACCAAGCTGATTGAATGTGGCTATCTGGTTAGGAAATATGATGGATGATACGCCAAATATGAAATGAATGTCCAGTTTCACCATCTTGATGACTGTTCAAGGCTGGTAGATGGTGCCATACACATACATGTACCTAAGATACAGGGACCTCAGTTCCCTCATTCCAGGTAAACTGCTCTGCATAATACAAGTGCAAATGATAACTTGTATGGGAAACATCTTTAAATCACATGCACTGTACAAGCTCTTAAACTTCACGGAATAGTAGAGATGCATGTATATTATATAGAGAAGCAAGGTATTTATGACCAAGGCAAATGCACTGCAAGAGTTCTTGCGGGGGCATGGCTCCACATATCTCCATGTTTGTCACGATGTAAAGTACCATGCGACCACTCCCAAATGTCTGGTTTCAAGTTAGCTAGTGGTGTTTGCTGCTAGTCTACACTACGGTTCCTCGCAGACCTGATGCATTCATCATCTCAGAAGATGATAGCGTTTTAACAGTTGCCAAACTTTTATCATCCAACATACACATGTAAGCTTACAAACTCAAGACATTTCAGTTGCCACATTGGCAGTGATGCCTCTGTAATTAGCCCACAAAATTGAACAAATTGGAGTCTTGCAGTCTGCAAGCAATTTAACACTGTCACAGTTTACACCACTGCATGAAAAACTATGCCTCGACTATGCCAGGAACCATGTAATTAATTCGATATGACAAATGACACTATATATGGAAGTGGATTGAGCTGTACGCGCAAGACAAGCGGAAACATGACCATTGGTAAACCGAGATGCCGGAACACACGTTGCTGCAGTTTGGGCCAGGGTGGGCAGCGGTTCCCGTCAAATCCCACAGGCTAACCAATGGATTGATTGAATTACACCTCACTCAACACCATGTGGTGTAGTTAAACACTGTAGTTAACCCTATCAGCTGCACTACAAGGCCAGGGTCCAATTAAAAAAGTGCCCCCCCAAATATATATATAAAGAAAAGAAATAACTTGTTTACTGGGGGGATATGCCCATTTCTACTTTTGGTAGATCTTATAATGAGGTGAGGCTGATGAATGGCTGATGTGTGACAGTCACTAATGGCTGCCCACTATGAAAATTGCTCAAATGCCGTTGTGACTAGCCAAGAGTTATTGCATGATATTTGGTATAACAACAGATAAAAGTGCACTCCAAAGACACCCTACAATAGCAGTCTCAATCTGAATATTACTAATGTAACATGGCCCTTTAGGTGGTGATTTTACAGTTGTCCCTCATCTAGCCACACAAGTCAATATTTGTGAACACAAGCGCATAAAAACGATAGTTTGTGAGGTTGGATGGCAAAAGCCTAGCAGGCCTACCTCATATTCGATAGTGAAGTTTGTTTAAATGTTTGGTTTCTGCTACCTTAACTGTCTGTATTTGACATTGTGCCCGAGGTATTTTACTGGAATGTAATCCTGGAGTGAAAACGTCCAGGGCTCAAATCGAGGTATGAAATCAGAGTACATTGTACATCTATGTACAACTCAAGGGCATGCATGTAAGCTACTGGCTTCCCCCTTATCCTGAATATCCGGATGGCATTAATTCAGGGCTAGAGTCACTCAAATGAGTGTTCTTCCATGTCTACATAACTGGCAGATGGTTACAAGTTTGATGGCTTAATTCACAGTTGTTAACGATTTGGAAGTTGATATGACCTTGAACAGACTGCATTTGCCTTGCTGAAAAGTGTACATGTACAAAATACAACAAAGGCCAATATTCTGAATTTTTTTGGTCAGGCTTAGGGGAAAATTTGCACATCCATTTGCCATCCACGTATCTGACCCAACCATTGGATATGCCCTGATCTCGCCCAGGGGAGAACTGAGCAATTATATAGTATCGGTTCAGTACTGGTTGTAAGTGAAAAAGAATTATGTGTGTAATTTTGTACAAATTAAGTGTAGCATTGCAACATGTTGAGTGGTCTTTTATTTCCTTCCTGCATGACTTAGAGTAACCATGATAACTGAGTGCTTGCATGGTCTGCCACATACATGTAGCGCAGGTTTTGTTTTGTAAATTCTGTGAGCATCTTGTCATGTACCTCACACAAATCCTTCCCTCCATATGATGCCACACTGACAAGACTCATGGCGTGCAAGCACCATTTACGTGTATGCACAAACGTTTCACGGGGTGGTGTCCCTGTGTGTGTATCTCATCATAATAAAATCACATACCACACACATCATATATTTTCTGATTAACGTGAACGAAACAGGTTACAAGACTAGGGGAGTACCATCAGACTCATGGACAGTGTTTCAGCATGGAGCAATAACTAAGAACACACCTCTACACGGTTTCAGTGATTTACCTGCACCCTTCTCGAACTGGTTTAAAATCTAACGTTATGCCCGCACAAACTTACGCTGCATCCTAGGCCAGTGGGCGTCGAAAGTACTCCTGCCATAGTCCCCATCAAACATAGGCTAGCTGTATCCTAGCTCTACTAAGTGGAGCTTTAGCATTCCTCTTTTTCAATTAACCGATCCGGTACAAAATTTGAAAAAGAGGAATACTAATAATTCACTTACTAGAGCTAGTTGTATCCCATGAAGGTGATCGGAAGCTGAACACGTGCCGCTCTCTTGAACACGCGCCATTTGTTTGTAAACAATGTGTCATCGTTGACACTTGAGGGCGCATTACTTTCATCATGGCAGACTGCTCGGAGAATATGAGTGCCGAATCAGCCGACATTAACTTCTTTGATTTCTTACCGACAGAAATAGTCACTTTAGTTTTAACCCAGCCCAGCCTTTATTTTAGAGATGTGGTTAACTTTGGAACAACTTGTAAGCGTTACCTCGGAATAATCAGCGACAACGAGCTTTGGAAAGTTAAGCTGCTGTATCGGTACGCAGTGCAAGTGCAGTGCCAACATTTTGTTTACTGGCACTGGCAGTCATGTCATGGCAGTATTGCTGGCATATGCGTATTACGTCATGTCACAGAGTTGTGGGGCTGCTGTCATTTTCACCGGTTATCTCACACGTCATCTGTTTAGACCGTAATCATCGTGTGCTCACATGTGCATGTGATTATGAAGGAACATGGGATAACCCATGGACCATGGCATGGTGTGATTGGGGTGGGGCCTAGGCCTAACCATGCTAACCCCACATTGGGGCTGTGGTGGTGACAGATAAGAAACAGATTGTAAAAGAGAGCCACTGCAGCCCTACTTCAAAGCATGTCTTAAATGCCTGAAATCCAAACTGCAGGATTGTCAAAAACTTTGAATCCTCATACACTGTATCTTCCGAAATGAGAATGACTCGACACTTTTACTTACACCAGTGTATTCCTCATAGTTTGGACTGTCATATGAGCACCCTAAAGCTTTCCAAAACCACATATTTTCTGATGTATGGCACCTTGAAAAGAGGGCCTGTGATATTTCTATGCTAACCGTGGGCGGCGCTATTTTTAAAAATGAAAGCAGCGATTCTTGCGTATGGTACAACCTACATGTATACCAGAGTGCCTGTCGGGTGCCTTGAAATCACTGCTGTTTTCAAGGTGCAATACATCAGAAAATATACAGTTTCGGAAAGCTTTAGAGTGCTCCTGTAAAAGTCCAAACTCTGAGGAATACGCCGGTGTAAGTAAAATTGTTGCGTCATTCTCGAAGATTCAAAGTTTGTGACAGTCCTGCAGTTTGGATTTCAGGCATTTAAGACATGCCTTGAAGTAGGGCTGTGGTGGCAACAGATAAGAGACAGATTGTAAAAGAGAGCCACTACACTACAGCCCTACATGTGGGGCTAGGCCTAGGCCTAATTGTGTTGATAAGCCCTTTTGCCGATAAGGCAGGAGTGATTTTGCACAATGGTAGAAAGGCATTATTGGAAGGAATCATTGCCCTTTTTTCTACCCACAGTGCCTTTCTACCATTGTATAAAATCAGTCATGCAGTATCAGCATTATGGCAATAATTGTTGCCATTAACATGATTAAATTTCAAACTGTACTGTCATGACTGTAGGCCTGTGGTGGGAGAAAGAGTTCCATGTACAGACAACACTGATCTTCCCTTATAATGCTGTAAGACCCATCTGAAAGTCATAACATGTCCTAAAAAGTGATATTTAGCCCAGAAAATTCCGAAGCATTTACTTTTAACAATTAGAATTTTTCAGACAAGTCACATGTGTTAGGTTTGTACTCGGTCTGTGTGCCACATACTGTACTGTGTCACAACCAAAACACACTTGATCTGTTACTGGAACAAATGTAGGCCTACATATAGGCCTAGCCAGAGCCAGTTTTGTAGATATTGGTAACTGTATCAAGATGTTTTTGTGGATGGTTCAGCCTGAGCACGCTTGGGCAGATACGTCACAATTTGTGAGGCTGTACTTCTAACCAGTGATACAACAATGCACATGTGCCAGTCAGTTGGAATAAGTTTTTGGACAGCATTTTCCTTGAATGAATTCTTCAAAGTCATGAATCTTTACCCACGGATGGGGCTTGTCAACATTTACAACTCTCAGACTCTCATGTGGATAACAAGCCTCATACATGTAGGTCTTGGGAAATGAATTTCCCAAAAGATTTCAATTTGTTTCACTGAGACAAGGGACCTAATCGAAGGTAACAAGGAAATTTTTTGTTTCAGAAAAGACAAGATAGGAAAAAAAATGATCTCCACCACCTATCAAAATCATGACCTGTTGCTTGAAGGTACTAACACTGACCAGTTGACCAATGAGATGCTTTACAGCTGATAATTAAAGACCATATGTAACATTTGATATTTTTTAACAGTTAATGAAAGATCTCCATTGACCACATTCAGGAGCACTGGATCATTGAAGTAAAACCCAAGAGAAATTTCACAAGTCACTTTCCTTTTACTAAAAGAAAAGTGACATACATGTATCATGCAATTTACCTTGGGATTCAATTAAATACAAGAGAGGTTAATATTCTGGATAGGCCTGGGAAAACAAAGTTCCACTTCCGTTTGCCATCCATGTACCTGACCCAACAATCAAATATGCCTTGCACTCACTCACTCTGAAGGGGAAAACTGAGCAATTATATGGCATCGGTTCAATTTTGGCTGTTTATGAAGAAAATTATGTGCGTGATATTGCACAGATCATGTGTAATGTTGCGAGATGTTGAACGGTCAGGAGGTGTAACACTAACTGTGTTCCTTTACAGGTTTCCATGTCTTCAGCAAGTCGCCGACAGCATGAAGCCTACCTCTGCTTGGCTAGACCACTGCAGGCAGCTCCACAAACTTCCAGAGACAGTCAAGAGCCTGGTGGCTGGCCTGTCGGCCAAGTGTTTCCTCCGGGACGAGGTGACCTACTCCCACTTCCGGCCACTGAAGGAGCTGTACTACAGGAGTGATCTGTGCCAGGCCCTGATGGACGAAGTGCTGATGACCCTTGTTAATGATGAAGATAAGTAAGTTTTGTTGGTAAGACTGGGTCTGTGCAGTGCAGTTTGTTCACTGCACCTTTATGTTTCTGTTAACCTTATTTTTAGTTTTTGTTTTAATTACATATTTTCATAGGTGCTCTAATGAATTTTGGGTTTTCATGTTAAAGCAACCTTTCCTATTCATAATTACAACTGTGGTGTCTTTTAAGGAAGAATACTTAAGGGTTTCCCTGATTGTATTCGGCATTGGCACCCAGTTGTGTGCAGAAAAGGGTATTTTTTTAAATGTCACCTTTCTGCACTCTTTGTTCTAATAGGATATCAAATAGTTGGATGCTGGAGAAGAGCATAAAGCTTTATAAAAAGTGCACCTTAGAAAGCAAGTCTGGTCCGATCCAACTTGGCTCATCAAGCCAATGTTTATCTCTGGTTTCTTTGGCATGGAATGACTGAGAATACTTCTGTTCCCCCTGGATGGTATGCCAGTCGATCACAGGTTGCTTCCCAGCTAATGCTGGTGCCCTTTTATACTCCTGGGTGGAGAGAGGCAAGTGGGGGTGAAGTGGCTTGCCAAGGGCCACAACATACTGCCAGTAGCTAGATTCGAACCTCCAACCCTATGATTGGAAGTCCCCCCCCCATCTTAGAAAACTGGTCATTAAATTGTCAGTCTTTGCTTCTTTGGACCATTAGGTACAAAGATTTGACCCTACGGTACTATGCTGAGAAAACCCTGCGCTACCTCTGCCGTACCAAGCTGAGGCAGGAATGGCAAGCACTCTTGGCCCTGCCCATAGAACAGCAAAGTCTGCTGGAAGGTGAGACTGACGCAAAGATGTCCAGATCTGTTCCCTGAGCATTGTTGTAGTCGGGACCATCACATGACCAGACACAGAATCAGACACAGAGTCAGTCACAA